GATGAGAGTTTTGATTTCTTTGTCTATTTCTTCAATTAATTTTAAGTTCCACTAAGACATAATTTTGTGATTAAGCTCCAAATGCTGGGCCTAACACAGTGTTTCCTTATTCTATTGGACAGTAAGCTTCATTTATAACTTTACTGCTAAGGATAGTCTAGATTTTCTCCTAGGGGAACCAGAAGGCCTCCCAAATCATCCAGATAAAACATTTCTTGTGCTGAAGGAGAAAACTCTGTTCTTAGAGCTACTGAGTGTTTATTCTGATTACTGCACCTTGGGATCACAGGATCAGGACACCAGTCACGATAGCATAACTGGTCACCATAGGCTAGAGGTGGCTGGACAGTGTGGCTTCTAAGTCAGTTAACAGGTGAATTGAGATAAGTCAGCTACTAACCCAGCAAAGGACACATTTCTCTCTTTGTATAGCGGCTAGAAATCTTAGAAGTGCCCTTAAACTGGCTTCTTGATGCTGGGAAGCAGCATGCCAACCAGAGCAAGCAAGCTTAGATTTTTGGCTCTTCAGCAGTAGTTGAAGTAGTTCTTAGAAAACAGAATTGGTTAGAGAAAACCACTAGGTGTGGTGGCTCATGCTCGTAACTCCCAGATTTGTGAGGCTGAGGAAGGAGGCTGCTCTGAGTTTGAAGTTGTAGTGAGTCCCAGTGTAGTCTGTGTTATGGAGAGATCTCTTGTAAACCTCTACCTCTGCCCCAAACAGAGAGATGCTGATGTAGAATACAAGACTGACTAGATGCCAGGATTTGGCAGAAAACCTCTCCTCCAAATGATGCTCTCTAACTGTTCCTTTCTTGAATGCCCTCCCTGCTCTGAACACAGAAATCTATGCCTTATTGATTGGAACAGTCTGTATATCATGCAGTGTGATTTTTAAAGCTGCTTCACCTTAGTGCTGGTTGTCCAGCTACTAAATTCACACATGATATCACAAAACATACATCTTATATTTTTAAAGAAAAATTACTTATTTTTAGTTTGCCCTATGTCCCCTTAGTTCCTTACAATCAGTATCCTTGAATATTGTTAACAAGTTTGGCAGCCAGAACATAGCAGGGAGGAGTATTTCATGACATAATTCAGGGCAGTTTTTCTAATGCTGAGACAGCAGCTTCTGTCTGTGGTTCTGAGGCCTGGAGTCTGAGCATATGAGTGGGAAGTGATTAGAATGTTTTCACACCTGGGGATATTCACACCTCCCAGGTCCATTTTCAAGGCAGCAAGTGGTGTGGCGGGCTTAAGGCATGTAGCCAGGAGCAGTTGCTATTTTTAGCAACATACATTTCTCTTTCCTATTTTTTATTATTTCCTTTATTTTTGATATAATATGATTACATCATTTCTCTCGTCCCTTTCCTCCCTCCAAACTCTCCCATATACTCCTCCTTGATCTCTTAGAAATCCATGGGCTTTTTTTTCATTAATTATTCTTACATGATACACACACATATATATCCTAAATATAACCTATGCAGTCTGTGTAATGTTGCTTGTACGAATGTGTTCAGGGCCGACTATTTGGTATCAGATAATCAACTCGTATGTTCATCCCTCGGGAAGACCATTTCTCCAGCCTCACCACTCCTTACATGCCTGTAGTTCTTTATGAAAGGTTGAAGCCTGGGGGCTTTCCCCCATCTACTTGCCACTTCTATGGTGGTTTAAGGTGATTTCCAAATTCTGGAAAGTAAGTATGAGGCTATGTCAAAAAGGACAAAAAAAAAAAAAAAAAAAAAAAGAAGTGGTTAAGGTAGAGCCTGAAACCTGATAAAGACCAAATGCAGATAAGATTATTTTTAAAAAGCACAAAATAGTCAGGATGGAGGACGAGATTCTAGGACTTGCATCAAAAATCACCAGTGCTTCCCAAAGAACAGGATGAATGGAAAAGAACAGAGAGATACAGAGGGCTCAGAGTGCCCATGTTCAGTGTCTGTCACTACCAACCTCACACTTGCAAGATCTGTCTGGACCATGTGAGGTCAGACAAAGCCTCCCTTTCTGTCACATTATTGGTGTCCTGAATTATACAATAAGCCCATTTGTTGTCCGTTATTTATGTGTCTTCACCAAGGCACCTCCTGATTGGTTTAATAAAAAGCTGAATGGTCAATAGGATAGAATTAAGAGGGAATTCCAGGAACAGAGAGGAACTCAGGATGAATTTAGGCATGTGAGAGTCACAAGCCAGACAGAGAGAGGAAAAGGAGGTGCTAGATGGAAGAGAAGCAACACCATGTGGCAGAACACAGATGAATATAAATGGGTTAATTTCAGTTATAAGAACTAATTGAGACAAGCTTAAGCTAAAGGGTAAGCTTTCATAATTAATAACAAGTTTCTATGTCTTATTTGTGAGCTGGTGGCCCAAAGGAAAACCTGACTACACACACTGCCAATTAAAAGATGACTGTTGTCAGAGGAATAAAGAATGAATTCATATGTCTGTGCAGAAGAGGGTCCTGGGCAAGGGGGTGGAGACAGCATAAAGGGAAAAGGCTATCAGAGCTTGAGTGTGGTGTTAGAGTACAAACGACCATGTGAAGAAGTCTCATGCAGGTGGTTAGACCCCAGCAAACCGAGAAGGTCATACAGGACAACACAGACCTTGTGTGGGGTGTGAAAAACTGGGTGGAATGAGGTCTTCTACATGCTTCTCTTCAGGCTTGAGGAGTCAGAACACGAACAGGGTGGGGAGGACGTTAGCCGGTGAGAGAGGGAGACTGCTGAAGTAGTCAGCCGGCTGTCTGCAGATTGATGATCGGATATGTAAACATATTAAGACTAACAGATGCCAGGTTTCTCAGCACTGTCTAAGAGAGAAGCAAACATGGAAAAGGAGAATGCCAGAAGAGAATGAACTACAAATATTAATAACCTCCTGGCTTTTCAGTATGGATAGACAACTAGAAAGACCTGTGCGTGTGTGCAGTTGTCTGTATACTGTGTGTGCTTCCTACTTTAGCTTTTGTAATTTCCAATACACTGGGAACAGAGTCAGATCCCAAACACTTAGAGCTAGAGCTCTCACCCTGTGTCCTAAATCTCTTAACAGAAAGAAGACAGTTTTCTTCAGTGAAGTAATAGCTAGAAAACTGAAGAAGGGGAAACATGGAAACGTTTTGCGTCATAAAGCAATGGAATCTCCAAATAATAATGGGATCCTGACAGGAAGGGGGGTTTAAAGAAAGGAAATATCGATATTCCACTCCAGCAGCTCCTTTAAACAATGCTTGGCACACATTGAAAAGCTGCTGTTCCATGGTCACCTTTAAAGTACAAACGTTCAACTGACTCATGCCAGAAAAAATGTATTAGTCAGTTACGTTCCCATCTTAAATCTTGAGATGGAACTTTCAACTTATCTGAAACTGCCAACATAATAGGCCAGGGCCAACAGTACCACACTGGAAACACTCTTTGTAATATTTTGGCATGCTCTTTACATGTGATTGCTTATTATTTACCATTGCAATAATCTATTCAATCACTAAGAAATACATTTAACTGCTCGTACCCCATACAGCACTGTGATAGAGTTGGGAGACACTGGAGTTCTAGGAGACACTAGTCTAGGAGATGAGTGGACATCGTGGTAGAAGGTTACCCCAAAGACTGAATGTTTGGCAGGGGCTTGCAAATAATTGTGTTAGCCTGTACCTGCATCCAACTTTCAATGAAAATGAGAATCGGGATTATTTAGGTGCCTTAAGCAATTACGTTTAAATTTTCCCAAAGTGTGCACTGCAGCTTTTAGTCTCAGCGTTCAAGAAGAGTGCTATTCATTGGTGATTTTAAAACAAAATAAAATAGCCTATTTCATAATAGTCTAGTTTACTCCTCTCTTCCTAGTGTGTGAGAAGAGACAGACAAGTAGGAATGCATTGAGTACTTTTTAACTAATTTGGGGGTGCTTAACCAATAGTTGATGGTTTCAATCAGCACATCTTCAGGGCTTCAAATGCCTCCCTTTGTTCAGCACCCTTGGTTAATCCTTCTGTGACTCTTGAGCTCCTGAACCAGGGGATAGGGGTTGGGGGGAAATGAGGACCGGGAGGAGCATAATGTGCTTGTTTGTCCTCTAGGGGGAGCTATGACTTCACTGAAAATTTTCTACTCACTATATTTATTATTTGGGAATTTCAAATAATAATGCACCCCAATCACTCACCTCCCAGTCCTCCTAGGTCTGGTCTGCACCCCAACCCTTGTGATCTTTCCCCTTCAAATAAGAAGAAAGAAAGAAAACAATAAAAGAAACAAGTTCAATTTGTGTTGCCCCTAAACTCACAGGTGCTGGCCAGGGGCCAGCCTCGTGAAGAAAACAACTGATGGCTTCTTGTGGGGGAAGGACTCAGTTTTCACTGAAACTCTTGAGGCTATTGATGGAGGTGGGTGAGCAGGGAGTTGGGCAGAAAGTAAAGCATCTGGCTCTCTGTTTCTTGCTCTGGTTCAGAGATGATATTAGTACAAATCAAAGATACTAAGACTTCTTGAACCTGTAGGGTATTGTTCCTGAAGGCTCTCTGCATGTCTCTTTTCCATAAGCAGGTTCGGACTGCTCCAAGGTGTTCCCAGTGGGGATGGGGTGCAGTTTGTTCGTCTCTGTCCCCTCTCATCGCTCACTGAGGTGCTTCTTACTTTGTTATCAAATTACTGTGTCTTGAAATGATGTACAGCTGACTTCAGAAAAGGCTCTGATGAACAATGAGGCTGCCTTTCTTAGGATAATGGGTCCATGGGAATCAGAAGGAAGGGTGTCTATCCAAAGGAACTGAATCGGTGTCGGGGGAGAAAGAGGTAGTACAAAGCAGAAAGGAGAAAGGGTGTACCATTTGCTGGTGCAAGCGACTGTCTAAGAAGCCTCAGGAGGCAGCTGGGTACGGTAGGTGTCCGGGAGCCTATGTATGTATAATAAACCCTGACGATCATAAAAGGCAGAGAGGAAGTGTGAACTGAAACCACCTAACAGAAAGAGGGGGCACCCAAACAAATCCTTTCACAGCGTCGGTAAAAGGTAGCTAGACAGACGGGACCCAAAGAGGGAGGCATCGACCCCATCCTGTGTGGACACTGCCATGGGTTTCTGGTTCTTCAACTGCTTGGCCCTTTGTCTCCTGGTGGTAGGTGAGTCTTAGCCTTGCTCCATACATGTCTGTATTTTCCATGGAGAAGCCTTTTATAATTAACTTGAGGATTAAATTTTGTTTCTTATCCCCACAGGTCCAGTGGACCCTAGAATTACCCAGACACCAAAACATCTGGTGGCAGTCACAGGGAATGAAAGGACCCTGAAATGTAAACAGTATCTAGGTCACAATGCTATGTACTGGTATAGACAAAGTGCTAAAAGGTCCCTAGAGCTCATGTTTTCCTATAACTATCAAGCACTTGTTGAAAACCAGACTATCCAAAGTCGCTTCCAACCTCACAGTCCAGCGAAATCCGACTTAGAGCTTCAGATCTCCGCCCTGGAACCTGACGACTCAGCCACATATTTCTGTGCCAGCAGCCAAGACACAGCCCTGCAGAGCTAATGCCCGCCTGTACACAAACCTCCTCAGTCTATCCAGGAAACTGTTGGCTGTACCAGGTCCGCCCGAGCCCCAAGGCTCCATCAGTAGTCCACAGGACTCAAGTAGAAACCTCAGACCACAACACCTGCCAATCAGATATTACCATGCCAAATCCAATGTTTTTACAGCAGCAGTCTGACTTGAGTAACACAGGGTCTACAGTTAAATAAGGGACTTACAAACTCAATTTTAAATTGTTTCAAGGGTTTGCAGTCCTGAGAAATCTTTTATCAACCACTTAACTATTCTTAGCAATTCTCTTTCCATCTGTACTCCCATGTGACTTCTCTTTGTAAGAAGAGCCTGTACCTCAGTCCTCATTCTGGCTCCAAGTTTGCTTACACGTTCTCCTTGACATCCCATCTCCTCCCATGTCCTCTTTGAGTTCCTATAACCCAGGAAAATCACTCCTTATTTGATCTGTACCACTATTGGATTTTCTCTCCTTGCTTATGGTCGGGTTCTCAACTCTCACTTTTTCTCCCATTGGGGCTTTTAGCAGTTTCATGCTTGACTTTTTCCTTGCATCTCTTTAATCTTCATGCTCAGTCCTTGCACTCTGTATTGTTAGTTGTAGAGTCTGATGCCTCTGAATTGTTGCTCACCACTGTAACAAAGAGGAAAATCTCCTGACATTTCTGAGAAAGCTTTAACTCTTGGAACTTCCTTGCTGAACCCCAATTTCCCACTAATTACTTCAGGTAATGCCCTCTATCTTGTGTGCAACATCAGATCTTATAGGCAGAACAGAATCCTGAATCCTTGGTGTCTGGTATATGAACAGTACTGTTTGCTCCTTTCTCCCACAGAGGGCGCCCTATTACCACTCACCAGTAACTGTCAGACCTTGCCTAGGCCATAGGAGCTTAGTATGTCCTGCCTCTGTTTCTTATGCCCAGTTGCTCAAGCTAAGAGAAGCTACATTCCTGTTGTGACCCAACTATGGATATTTGGCTTCTATGTTGGATACTTTTTAGTCTCCTGAAAACAGGTGGATTCTTAAGAATCCTAGACAGTTTTCACTTCATACTGAAAGAATTTTAAACCATTTTTAACCTTCTTTTTCTTTCCACAGGACACACAGGACCCAGCGTCTTACAGATTCCAAGTCATCAAGTGATACATGAGGGGCAGATGGTGACCCTCAGCTGTGACCCTGTCTCTAATCACCTGTACTTTTATTGGTATAAACTGATCTTGGGGCAGAAGATAGAGTTTCTGGTTTCTTTCTACAATGGTAAACCTATGGAAAAGTCTAAGCTATTCAAGGAGGATCGGTTTTCAGTGGAAAGGCAAGAAAATTCATATTTCACTCTGAAGATACAGCCCACAACGCTGGAGGACTCAGCCGTGTACTTCTGTGCCAGCAGCTTAGCCACAGCCTTGCAAAAATACCGTCTTCCTGTACACAAACCCGCATGTATCTGTCTCTCTACTTGCTTCCCCCAGAGGAGCAAGTCTGTTTATGTTTTGTTGCAGCTATTTTTAAACATATATATATATGAAATTAAATAATCAAAATAGTCTATCTCATATGGTTTGGTTAGAGGACATGGAATATACAGATTTTCTACAGACACCACTTTGTGTCTGACTGAGAAATAAACTTGAGAAATATCAATCTCTTAGCAAGTAACTAAGTGACTTATACTTTCATTTTCTCCTCCATTTTAATTGCATTGGAATGTTTTGTTTGTTTTATTGGTAGTAGTTGATAAAGTATTTTAACCCATAAGGTAGAAGTAGCGTCACTGCTCCCCTCATAATCACTTATAGTGACTTAGGGACCACATTATAATTCCTGATCCTATATTAATCATATCAGTCAGATAAGAAATTCTGGTTTATGAGATAGAGGAGTATCAGGATCCAGCCTCAACAGAGTTCAGATGTTCTAGTTAGGGTCTGTGGATTAGAAAAAATAGGTAGAAGGAAGAAATCCAGAGACATATGATAGAACCAGGAGGACAATCCAGTGAATACTGAATATGGCCATGTTTATTTTCCATATGTTTATATACCCCAATCTAAAAAGGCAGAAAGAAAGCAAAGATTGCTTTAACATGACACAAAGAACAAGCAGAGAAATTACGTGTTTCAATACCTGAAACATCATGCTACTCTATCCTAAGTTAAGCATTCTGTTGTTTAGGCAGCATATGCAGTGACCACACCTTAGACCTTGTATGCTGTAGGCAGCCACTTCCTGGGTCAAACCTCCTGTCATATTCTTGAAGGAGTAGAAATAGGCTTGAATTTTCTGACCTTTGGTCAGGGTGGAATGGATCCACCTCTGTGGGCCATCTCAATACTCAAAACACCAAGAAACCACACCATAGGTCAAGATATTGTCATTGTAAACACACCTTAAGTCAGACCTCTTGTTAACAACCTAGACAGATCAAGATAAGTCTAAATTCTCTGACTTTCAGTCAAGGTGGAGTGGACCCACTTCTGTGGCCGCCACTTATTCTGTCAAGGTAGAGCGAAGCCACTTCTGTGGGCACCCACAGAGGAGGAAGAAATTGTGTCTTCAAACATAAGACACAAGAAGCATTTCATTGATTCTGAACTGGAAACTTGCTTGGTCTTTTTGTTTCCTTTTACTTGGAAGCAAGAAGGTAAGGATGAAAAAAATGGAGTTTCTATAAATAGATGCTATATAAATTGAGTTTATAAAAACAGATGATCATGTGGTCACAAATTTGCTGCTCCACACTGGGAGCAAGCAAAGGTTGATATGGAATTTAACTAATTCACTCAAGTTTCTCTAATGTGTCGTGTGGTGATGACAACAATTCGGTGAGTGTATCAGTCACTGCATGAGACTGCAAATGTACCAAAGGGATCAGAGTCATAAGGCAGCCATTTCTCAATCTGTGGTCACGATTCCTTTGGGGGCATTGAATGACCTTTACACAGGGGCCTCCTAAGACCATATGCATGTCATATAGTGACAAAATTACAGTTATGAAGTAGCAACAAAAGTAATTTATGGTGGGTGGTCACCACAACATGAAGGATTGTATTAAAGGAGCACAGCATTTAGAATCATTGTTTAAGGAGTAAAGGTTGGGGTCATCCCACTGAACAAGGAACCACTCACAGAGGAGCAGAGCTAGGCTGAAGGACATCTAGAATTGCCAGTAGAGGTGGAGGCCAAGGGACGTCAGCTAAGACTTTGGTACCACTGGTGGCATCAGCTCTGCAGTTTACTGCTATGGACCTCCCATGTTTGCAGCTACTGAAGCTGACCACCACCTCGAAGCCCTGATTATCTGGCCTTGGTAAAAGTGTTAACTGCAACATTTAATGCCACCCACAGCTGCGATGAGCAACTCCATGCAGACTTGTAAACATCGACTCACTCTACAGGAATGGTGTTTACGGATGGGTGTTGAGTTATAGTAGTGGCCTGGGTGGCCCTTACGCAGGCACAGTCCAAAAGTGTGGGACTGATGGATCACAGGTTTTCCAATAGACTTATTCTGTGGAAATCTTAGTTTGACAGTTGAACCACCTGCCTACACCAATGGTCCAATTAACATGCTTTCATTTGTGTTTTTCTCTTTTTCTGTTTCTCTTGTTTGGTCTGGGCAGTTTCAACTTACCATCCATCTTACATATTCTTTTAAACTTTACCCATTTTCTTTGTAAAGAATTATATTGAATGTATACATTAGGCAGGTAGTATAACTCTGTTCAAATTTCCATTTATATCATAATTACGGCATCAAGTTGTCTGCTAAAATTCTCTATTATATTTATTTTATTTTAAATAGGTAATGTTTTATATTTATTTTACCAAAACATTACCTATTTAAAAACCAGTGACTAATAACTGTAACATCTAAACTTGTTTGAAATCCTTTTTTGTCTGTTGCCATGTCTTGGTTTGTGATGATATTATCTTGTTTCCTCATATACCAAGTATCTCATGTGAATGTTCAAGAACATGAACAATTAGAGGTAACTTGAGGCTCTGAATTATTTCATTTTCCTCCTGAAAGGACTGAGATTGCCTCTGCTACAAAGTTCTAAGAGAGGCAGATCATTTCATTGAACTGATGATTGAGCTAAATCAAAGCTGGGCTCTGAAGAGTCCCCGGGACCACTGTTAACTCCTAGTCTTAAATGCTCAGTGTTTTAAGCTTTAAACAATGTTTTGAGTATTTACTAGCATTATTGACATGAAATTCATATAACAGAGTATTATTCAAATGTGCAATTCCACAAGTTTTAACAAATTCGTGGATCTGTGCCGTTGTCACCATGGTCTGGCTCTAAAACATTTTCGTTGTCCTCAAAGTTTGCTTCTGCTCATTTTCAATGGTTCCCTGTTCCTGTCTGCAGGCCCAAGGCCCGGGGCTTTCCCAGGGTCTTTTTGATCCACAGCACTGAACATACGTGTTATTCTACACATCCGAGAGCCACTGTTTGCAGTGTGAAGCACCCACTCTCTTTCCACCAGTCATTTAGCAGATTGCACTAGATTGGGAAATGGTGTAAGGCAAAGCATCTATCAGAGTTACAGTTTCTCTCACTTTTTGGTCATTTATGCCCATACTCTCTTTGTGCCCACCAATGCCTCCAGGCATGAATCATTCCTTTTGTAACAAACTTTTCTGGTTGACTTTGCTGTGAACATTGTAATAATCCAATCCAGCTTTGAAAGCCAGGGTATGTTCTGAGCATGCTAGTGTTTTGGAGTGGAAACGCCCTTAAGAAAATAAGGAGTCAGACCTCCAGCAACTTGTTCCAGCATCGCCGCTGTAAGCCCCAGCATATAAACTCATCTGAAGATACTGGGCTTTAGTGACTTGGAGGCTATCATCTCTTGTTTTCCACATTTGGGAATGGGACTCTTTAGGGTCTTATGGCACACTGATGCATGTTCACTTCTGATAAGTCTTTACTCTCACTATTCATCAGTGTGTATCCCTGACTTTAAGACCTCTGCC